GGGAAGCTGTGTGTGTCACACAGGAGCCGGGGGCCGGGGAAGCTGTGTGTGTGCAACATGGGAGCCGGGGGCTGGGGAAGATGTGTGTGTAACACACGAGCCTGCCAGGTGAGTTCATGGAAACCAGAAAGAAAAACAAAACAAAGCAAAAACAAAATCTGTTTTCCTTCTACAGTGTCTCTCCTATGCCCTCTGTTGCTAAAGCCTAATTTTATGCCTACTGCCAAAAGAGAACTCTTTACAGAGCCCACACTGTTTTAACAGAACAGGCAAAATGGGTGGATTTGGAGCTGAGAGGCAATAAATTATTAACTGGCACAATATGGTACCTTTCTGTTTATTTGGAATTTTAAAAGAAAGAAAACTTATAATAGGAAAAAAACCGGGAATAGTACTTGCCTCTGGGGATTTGCGGAGGGGAGAGCAGGGACTGACAGGAAAGAGGCAAGATAGAATGTTTTGTGGCAGTGGGAATATTCTGTGTCTTGAAGTAGTTTAACCAAGTCGTGCATGTCTCAAAATGCAGGATTTGTGTATTTCTTTGTTTGTAAATTTCACTGTAGAGGAAAAATGTAAACAAAAGTAAACATATGCATGTTATTTAGGAAGGAAGTTATGATTCTTACAATTTATTTTGAAATGCATGAAGAAATAATATGGATTGATGGATGAATAGAGAGATAAATATATGATAACACAAGAATAGGCAAATATTAATGGCAGTATCTAGGTACCAACCAGATTTAGAGGACATTGGTGCTCATGGTAAAATTATTTCAGCCTTTTTTTGTGTTGGAACATTTTGGAATTTGATGTCAGAAAGAAAATATTACCTAAGTTGCTGAGGGGAGGATGGATTTTAGGAGAACAAGAGCAGAGATGGGCAGATTGGTGGGGAGACAATTTTGGTAACGCCATGATGGGGGCTGAAAGCCTAAATCAGAGTAGTGGCAGTGGACATGGAGAGCAGGAGGGTCAGTACAGCTTTGGGGCAGAAAGTGATATGTAATGGTGATGTACTGAAGATGGGCGGGGAGGAAAAGTAGTCACAGTCAGGCTTTGGTTTTATACAGTTCAGTAGATGGTAGTGTCTTTTGCCGTGTAGAGAAGATAGAGACATAGCTTTGAAATATGTGCAGTTGAAATCAAGAATTATATCTTAGACCTGTGAATCAGCTTTAAGATACCTGTGAGACATCTTGATGGAATTGTCTAGTGAGCAGTTGATGTATGTTTGGAGAACAGACGCGAGATCTGGGCTAGAGAAACTTTAAGAATAAAATTAAGAAAATACCAGCTGTTTTGGACTGAGTTGTGCCCCTCCCCTGCCCAAATTCACATGTTGAAGCCACTCCCAATTGGAGTGTATTTGGAAACAGGGCCTTCACCGAGGGAACTAAGCTTAAATGAGGTCATAAGTGTGGGACCCTAATCCAGTAGGATTGGTGGTATCCTTATAAGAAGAGAAAGAGACACCAGCAATGCATCTGCACAGAGAAAAGACCCTGTGAGGACACGGTGAGAAGGCGGCCATCTGCAAGCCCAGGAGGGAGGCCTCTCCAGAAACCATCTCTTGCTCTTGAATTTCTAGCTTCCAGGACTGTGAGAAAGTAAATTTCTGTTGTTTAAGCCATCTAGTATATGATATTTTGTTATGGCAGTCCTAGAAATCTAATACACCTGCCATGGCATTTAGAGACCTGACAATGATGTCATCACCTAGGAAGCAAGGGTAAGAAGAGAAGAGTGGAGAGATCCACTTTGGGTCTTGAGGAATACCAGCGCGGAGCGGCCAGCCAGGCCAAGATACAGCAGCAAAGGAGACTGATGAGGTTAGTGGGAAAACGACAGAAAAAAGTCATAAAAGCCAAGAGAGGAAAGTGTTTTAACAGGGAAGGGGCAGCTGAGTTTAATGCTGCTGCTAGATTGGGTGAGTTGATGATGAAAGAGCCCATTGAATTGGAAGCATGCTGATGACAACAAGGGTGGTTTCTGAGGTGTGTAGGCAAGATACACTAAAAACAGAGTTAAAAAGAAAGCCTCCAAAAACAGACTGGGAGAAAAATATGATTTACACACACACACACACACACACACACACACACACAGAGTGAGAGACAGAGAAAATACTATCTATAACACAAAGCACTGCTGTAATTCAATAAGATCACTGAATAGGGAAAAACTAGGCAAAGAATATGATAAAGAAATTCTTAGAAGAAAGGTGATGCTCACTCTCATTCATTAGGGAAATGTCCATTAACTATGAGATACTGTATTTTGTTCTTTACATTGTAAAATATTTAATATTTTATAATCAGGTATGCAAAGATACTCTCATATTTTTAGAGAATATGTAAAGCCTTTTAAAATAATAATTTAGTGTTACCTATCAAAATAAAATTGCTTATATCCGTTTTCCACTAATTTTACTTCTAAGAATTTTTTCTGCAGAGACATTTACATAGATATTCAAGATTATATCTTATTTCACCAAATCTAACTTCATTGTTTAAAAGATGCATCCCAATTTCAGAGATATTAAAATGTGAAAATAAGTATAACCAGAATTGATGCAATGCAGTATTATCAAGATGTGCATTGCAGCATTGTTCAAAAAGTTATAATTGATAATACTGAATTTTAAGCTTTTATAGAGACTAAGGTAGATCGAAACGTACTGAAATGGAAACATGGCCAGTATTGTTAAGTGAAATGAATGAATTTGCAGATGTTTACAATATGATGATATTTCTGTAGGACAAATTGGTATATGTAAAATTTACAGCTTCCTTTAAAAATGCTGGTTGGGTAAACACTAAACAGTGATAGTCTCTTACAAATAGGATTGGCATGGAGGTGAAATGTATCTTTTTCTTTTACTTCATATGTAGAAGTATTTTTTTCTATCTTTTTAAACAAAGATAAAATTATTTTTGCAGAACAAAAAATCTTTATATTTTAGCCTGATCAACCTGATTTGGTGAAGTTAAGGGAATCGGATAGTAAAAGGGTAACACCTTCTTTAGCATTTTGGAATTAAATTGAGTATTTCAGCAACGAAGCTTACAAAAAACTATGGGTTTTGTTTCCAAAGCTAGATCTGGATGAATGCAAATAGAGTTATGATCTAGAACTTGTAGAATTAGAGTGAGAACTACATGATATGAGGTGCTGTGATGATGAGCTAGAGAAGCGGGCAGAACTGCAGAATTTGGAGAAAGCATGGGCATTGTACCCAGAAGTAAATATCATATAATTATTATCTTCGAATTCAGGAAACGGAACCTTTGAGAAATGGGACATGGGACTCTCAGGCTTCAGCTGTGAGACTTCTTATGCTCATGTGGTGTAAGAGCATGTAACTTACCTATGTGTTTCTGCAGGACATATTCCTAGAAGTAAAATTAATGGAAAGATGAAAAAGACTCCACAGTCATGCATTTGGCAGCTACAGCTGACACTGAGAGGGGTGCTTCAAGTCATCGGCACAGGTCAAGGCAGCTGCCTCAGTATTCATATTAAAAACTGGGATGTTAAATCAGGTAATTTTAAGATACATGGGCAGTAATAATACCAATTATTTTATTTCATTTTTATTTTTGGCTTTATTAAAATGTAATTAAATGTGACTGGTTTCCTTACCTCTTGGGAAGGTACTTTTGTAGGTGAATAGTTGTTCAGATTGATATTTCTGTGAGGGATGATTGCTGGGAGTACTGTCCTGACATCTTCCTCCCCACCTTTGACCAACACCAATACTTTCAGAAAGCAGCAGTGAAATTCGGAAATGTCAATTATAAATAACTATATGCCATCTTAACATAAGCTGAATACTAACATTTTCATTACTTGGAATGATTATTATAAAATAAATAATGATCATTTATAAATAATTAAATATCTTTATCTAAAATTCCAGTATTCCATGCAGGTCAAAATTTCTTCTACAAGTTGAGCCTTTCTCCCCAGCCTTTAGACATTGTAGAGGGGGGAATATGTCTTGCTAATTCTAGTCTTTAAAGGCACTATTTCTAAGTCTGCAACATTAAGTTTATGGAAAACAATGTAGGCACAGAGAGACAAAGCTCCTACAAGGAGGATTTCAGAACTGTAGTAACAAATCGACTGTAAAAAGACATTTTTAGGACAGTCGGTGTGAATCTGAAATGGTTATTAGATGATATTGAAGAATTGTTGATTTTTTTAGGTGTGATGATGATATTGTGTTTATGTTAGATAACATTAACCACTCTTCTACCTATACACGCTTAAGTATATAGGGATGTCATGTCATGACGTCTACCGTTATCTTTTACTTCAGCAAAAGATACAGAAGATGCTAATATGGCAAAATATGAATGCTATATCAAGGTGATGCGTATGTAGCAGCTCTTTATACTCTGCTTTCTAGTCTCATACATTTAAAATATTTATAATAAAAGTTTAACAAAGTCTAGGTAAAATAAAATTCGAAAGGGCAAAAAAAAAAAGGTTACAGTGATTATTGGATACGTAAAATTAATTCATGCACAACATCTCTTCTTTAATCACTTTGCCTCAAGGAGCCTCGGCTTAACTTCCGGAGCGGTGGCCCAGGAGCCCTGCGCCGGGCGGCTGAGCGCGGTGAGGACGCCAGGACCGAGTTCTCCTCGCAAACGCCCCGTCACCTGCTCTCACCTGCTGTGAAACCAGCGAACTCGACGGGAAAAGAAGCGCAGTGCATGATGTCCGCCGGCTCCCGTCGTCCCCCGGGAAACCGGGGACGTGGGGCTTAGTTCCAGCCAGGTGCCCCGGGCCCTCGGCCCAGCTTCGGGGGCGATCCGAGAGCCTCCTTTTCATGCAGAGACGCTGCCGCCTGGCAACCCCCGGGAACCCCGGGAGGGAGAAGTTGCTGCTCTTCCCTCAGCGCTCAAGGGAAAAGAAAAACATTCTTCGGGCTTGAGCCTGGGAGTCGGGGGAAGTTCTAAACCGGAAGTTCCGCCTTCGGGCCGGAGCGCTTCCTGTTTGGTAACTAAGGACGCGGGACGGTTGCTAGGGCTCCCGTGGCAATTGCCGCCGCGCTGTGCAGGTGCCTGGGCTCCACGCGGGTGCTGGCCACCCGCTGTCCGGGAAGGCGGATCTCTGCTCTGCACCTTTACCCGTTCGCAGTCATGAGTAGTGAATTCCTGGCTGAGCTGCGTTGGGAGGATGGGTTCGCCATCCCGGTGGCGAACGAGGAGAACAAGGTGCTGGAAGATCAGGTGAGGTCAAGTGAAGAAGGCGGGGGGAAGAGGAGGAAGCCTGCGGAGGCGTTTTCTGCTTGGCAGTGCCACCCCAGCCCTGTCTTTTCTCTCCTTTCCGAGTCCTGTGCTTCCTCTGTCTAACGCTCCCTCGCACCATCGCCCTCCTCCCTTACCCCGCCTGCCTGTTTCAGTCCTTGTTAGGCATTTAAAAGTTTTATTAAAACCATAGTTGACATTTAGGGTTGTAAAGTTCGAAACTCCCTTCCCCAGGCCCACTCCTCTTACTCATTTCTTTCCTCCTGGCGGGAGAGGAAAGGCTGGTTCCGGGATCCGCCTTTTCCTTGCTCAAAATTAAGCGCTCCTTGGAAAAGAACTTCTGAGGTTTGCATAGCAACGGTTATCTGCACACGTTTATAAATAAAACGCCAGAAGGTTCATATTCCTTTGAGAGTTTCTGTCTATAATGTTTAAAGCCGAAAGTGACTTGAGGTGTTTTCAAGAGGAACATTCCAGTAAGAATGTGAAATGTGCAGTTTACAGTTTTTTAGAGAGAAGATTGAGTTGTCACAGATTGACATAAGATATTTTAAGTTGTAAGGACGAACTTATATTAACTGCAATTCATAGCAGTTGTTAAAAATTAATTGCAGGCCAGGTGCAATGGCTTACACCTGTAAGCCCCGTACTTTGGCAGGCTGAGGCAGAGGATCTCTTAAAGCCAGGTGTAAACCAGCCTGAACAAAAACGCGAGATCCCCCGCAAAGCCCTCCCCTCCCGCATCTCTAGGAAAAAATAAAAATAAAAAATTGCAGCCGGCTCAGCAAATTCTGAAAAACCTTGGTGGTGATGTGTTGTGTAGAAGAAGGTACAAGAATAGCAGATGATGCTTAGGCAACTTTATAAAACAGAAAAGAAAGTTTTCTCAGCTCTGAAAATGGAAAATGAAAATCCTGTGACTGTACCTTTTGAAAAGAATGGAAATACTTTTTTAAAAACATTCTGACCTATTTACTCATGTGTAATTTAGAAGACTGCATTTTTTCCCCCAAAGAAGGGCAGTGTTAGGAAATGTAAGCAATCTAGCACTGAGTACTGAGGAATTAATACTAAGTATCCAGGCCTGGGTTCAGATCCTGCTTGCCAACCCTAATCCTGCTTCTTTTTCAGTAAAGTGGAGATGTAGATAAACTGCTTCGCAGGCTTTAGGGACATAATATGGGTTAAAGTTCCATCCAAATTTTAGTTTTTTGTATTATTGCCATCATATATGTCTTGCAGGATTTTTATATACATATTACTTATAGTAGCTATTTAAAAAATTACAGATCAGTATGAAGAAGAACAATGAGAACTACAATTGCATTACATAAATAAACTCTGACATTTAAAAAGTGACTTGTAAATTTATTAAAACAAAATAGAAGGGTATGAGATAAAAATATAAGATATTCCTTCCCCAAAGTGTCCACTGTACTATAGAAATGACTGTCACGGCATTAAACACACATTTCAGACATCTTGGCATACAGATATACAGAAAGAAGAGAAAATTGAGGAGTATTATAGTGGAATTGTATTACAGATATGCTGTTTTTAACACAAAATAGTAATTTTAGTATTCGAGAGAAGAAAAAGCAATTGTTGAATTTCAGGTAAATATTACTTGATTGCAAGAGGTGCTGATTGCTAAACAAAATCCTCTAAGAAAAACTACTTAAGAAAAAATTAAATGGTTAATGTTTTTAAGAACTCTATATTTCAATTATAGATTACTGAATGTCTTTGCTTTTAAAGAATAAGTTAGCACTCTTACACATTTTCCCACCTCCTCTTCCCCTGTTAAAATGATGGTTTTATCATTTTTAATATTGCCAAGTTTACTTGCATTGGATTCAGTGCCCTTAATTTATCATAAGTGTTTAGTGTTAGTTTTGTGCTTGATTTGCTTTAGTGGTCCTTACTGCAGCCACTTTTATTCAGTTTATCTTTCTTGAACTTTTCATTTTGATTTGCCTTTTGGCTGGCTGGATTTTATCCACAAATGATTGTTGCAAGGAGGGCCTATAGTATTGTGATTTCAATTTCTTGCATCCTAGATTGCCAGTCTGTTTCCTTGCATCACCTGCGTTAAGTTTATGTACCTGAAAGTGTCAGATCTTCAAGGTACCCTGGTATTCCTTCTGCCTCCTACTCCCACCTCTTACTTTTGGAGCACTGTATTTTCCAGTATGTACAGATTTCCCCACAGGCCTATTTTACAACTGTCACCTTGGAAATTCTCTTTATTCCTCTGCTGATTTGAAGCTGTAGTTCCTAGATCACATACGTTCATTTTTCTTGTACAGGCCTACCTCCAAAATATTGCAAGTTAGTTCCAGACCACTGCAATAAAGTGAACGTTGCAATAAAGCAAGACACACAGTCAATGTAAAAGTTATGCTTACTTTTACTTCAGTCTATTAGGTGTTCAAAACTTGTGCTTTTCTTAATAATACTTTATTGTTAAAAAAAATACTACCAAGTATCTGAGCCTTCAGTGAGTTGTAACCATTTTGCTGGTGGAAGGTCTTGCTTTGATGTTGATGTTTGTTGACTGATGAAGGTGGTGGTTGAAGGTTCAAGTGGCTATGCCAATTTTTAAAATAAGAGAACAATGAAGTTTGCCACATCAGTGGCTTCTTTCTTTCATCAAAGATTTTTCTGTAGGATGCAATCATGTTTGATAACATTGTATGCACAGTAGAACGTTCAAAAGTGGAGTCAATTCTCATACTCTGCTGCTGTTTTATCAAATAAGTTTATGTAATATTTTAAATCACTTGTAATTTTAACAATGTCCACAGCATCTTCATCAGGAGTAGATTCTGTCTCAAGGAACCACTTTTTTTGCTCATCCATGAGAAGCAACTCCTCATCTGTTCAAGTTTGTTAATGAGATTGTAGCAATTCAGTCACATCTTCAGGCTCCCTTTTAATTCCAATCCTCTAGCTATTTCTACTTTACCTGCAGTTATTTCCTCCATTGAAGTCTTAAACCTCTCAAAGTCATCTATGAGGGCTGGAATAATCTTCTAAACTTCTATTAATACTGATATTTTGGTCTCCTCCCATGAATCATGAATGTTCTTATTGGCATCTAGAATGATGAATCCTTTCCAGAAGGTTTTCAATTTACTTTGCTCAGATCCATCCTAGGAGTCACTGTCTATGGCAGCTAGAGCCTAACAAAATGTATTTCTGAAGTCAGAATATCTTCTTGATCCATAGGCTGCAGAATGGGTGTTGTGTTAACAGGCATGAGAACATTAATCTCTTTGTATGTCTCCATCATGGTTCTTGTGTGACCAGGTGCATTGTCAGTGAGCGTTAATTTTTTGTTTGTTTGTTTGAGATGGAGTCTTACTCTGTCATCATCCAGGATGAGGTGCAGTGGTGTGATCTTGGCTCACTGCAACCTCCACCTCCTGGGTTCAAGCGATTCTCCTGTCTCAGCCTTCTGAGTAGCTGGGATTACAGGCATGAGCCAACATGCCTGGCTAATTTTTGTATTATTAGTAGAGACGGGGTTTCACCATGTTGGCCAGGCTGCTCTTGAACTCTTGACCTCAAGTGATCCACCTTTCTTGGCCTCCCAAAGTGCTGGGATTAAAGGTGTGAGCCACCACAGCTGGCCGATGAGCAGTAATATTTTGAGAGGAATTCCTTTTTTCTGAGCAGCTGGAATCAACAGTGGGTTTAAAATGTTCAGTAAACCATGTTGTAAACAGATGTGTCATCTGGGTTTTTTTGTTCTATTTATAGAGCACGGGCAGAGATTTAGCATCATTCTGAAGGGCCGCAGGATTTTCAGAATAGTAAACGAGCATAGGCTTTAACTTAAAGTCACTGGCTGCATTCGCCCCTAAGAAAGAGTCACTCTGTCCTTTGAAGCTATGAAGCCAGGCATCGCTTCTCCTAGTGAGCTATAAAAGTCACAGATGGCATCTTCTTTTATTATATGGCCGTTTCATCTACGTTGAGAATCTGTTGTTTGGTGTGGCCATCTTTATCCATGATCTTAGCTAGACCTTTTAGAACTTGCTACCTCACTTTGTACTTCTGTGTTGTGGAGATGGTTTCTTTCCTTAAACATCGTGAACCCACCTCTGCTAGTTTTAAACGTTTTTTCTGAGCTTCCTCACCTTTCTGAAAGTTAAGGGCCTTGCCCTGGATAAGGCTTTGGCTTACAGGAATGTTGTGGGTGATTTAATCTTTTATCTGGACCACTAAATCTTCTAACAGGACCACTAAGGCTCCAGAATTGGGGCTTACCCCTGGAGGGTTCTTGGCTTCACCCAGGAAGGAATTTAAGGGTTAGCCAGTGGTGGTAGACAGCAACTTTCATTGAAGTGGCAGTGTGCAGCAGCAGCAGAGGTACTGCTCCTTGTGGAGCTGGGACACTTGAAATGGTGTGCCCAGAGCAGCAGCTCAGAGGCAGTTCTGCAGTCATATTTATACCCACTTTTAATTATACATATACATAGGATCAGATTATGTAGTAATTTCTAAAACAAGGGCGGTAACTTCAGGGTCATTGGGTTGTTGCCATGGATAGGAGTGATAACTTCTGTTTCTTTATTTTTTTTTGAAACAGAGTCCTGCTCCATCACCCAGACTTGGCTCACTGCAACTTTTGCCTTCCAGGCTCAAGTCTGTGCCTCAGCACCCCAAGTAGCTGGGAATTACAGGTGCATGCCATCACACCCAGCTAATTTTTGTATTTTTAGTAGACATGGGTTTTGCTGTGTGGGCCAGGCTGGTCTCAAACTCCTGGCCTTAAGTGATCTGTCAGCCTTGGCCTCCCAATGTGTTGCCATGGCAGTGGTAAACTGACATGGCATACTGGTGAGCATGTCTTATGGAAAGCTTCTTCCCCTCCATCCCTGCTTTAGCTAGTCCTCAATTTGTTCTGGTGTCTGAGCCCAGCCTTTGAGTCTAAACCCAGTCCTCTCTCACTTTCTCCTTATCAGCAATAAGGC